CCCCAAAACCCCAAAACCCCAAAACCCCAAAACCCCAAAATAAATAATATTTATTGAAAAATGGACTCACAAAGAGAAGTTAACTCCATTATTAGCAAAAAGCTAGAGACCTACTTGAAGAAGAGCACGAGGATGTCCCAAGAAAGTGTTCTGGAGTTTTCAGAGATCCAGAATAGTCTGAATACTTTGATAACACAAAATGAGAGTATTAAAACCAAAAATAAAGAGTTTGACTCTAAAATCGGTACTGCATCAAACTTTTGGTCTTCTTACTATACCCCCAGATTTATTAACCTTTTTGTATTATAGATAGGCTGCTCAACCACACGTTAATCGATATGCGAGAATCTTTAGTAGAATCCAAGAAAAACGCAGATGAGACGGATCAGATGGTCCAAGAAGCACTTGACGAGATTGAAAAGAAAAATCGAACTATAGATAGCTACTCTCAAGAAGCCCTCCAGATTCAGGAAGAAAATGACAAGCAACTCATCTCAGTTAGTATGAATTGAAACCTCACTTACAACAAGATTTATGAAGATTTTAACCAATTTTTATAGTGAAGTTCAAGAACGACAGAAGAAAAGAAGAGAGAAAGCTGAATAACTTAATGGAGATATTCGTAGAAAGTATCCAGACTCTAAAAGTAAGCCTACCCCACTAATATATAGCAACTCCTAAGCGGTGATAGTAAAGGTCTGGACCTTCAGCCCAACCCTGAGGTTATCAAAAAGGAAAATGAGTTGAAATAAGAAGATAAATATTTACCAAGATATGAAGAACACCAACTTGCAACTAACCTTGACTAACCAACTGATGAAGGAGGAGTGCAAGAGATTGGTCTCAGAAGTAGAACGGATGAATATTCTCACTTCAAGTCAGCTTAAGAAAGACAGTATAGAACTAGACACTGATTATAGCACTGATAGCTATAATTCCGGGACAAAGCAAAGGGTTTCAATTAAAACCAGATCTTTGGATGATTCCAGTATGCTCGACCAAACCATACTCCAAAGTTTAGAGAAAAGGCGAGATATAGTAGCTAGAGATGTCCATCGCTTTGAGAGAAACCTTGCAGTTCAGAAATCCATCAATATTAACAAAAGGAGTGGATGGTGCATCATTCTGCTCATCAGCGTGGTGCTGAATCTTCTACTGGTCGGCTCTTTTCTATATAAATTTTTCAAATAATTTCTGAAAATAGGGGTTTTGGGGTTTTGGGGTTTTGGGGTTTTGGGGTTTTGGGG